CTCCAGCCCCATGGGACTTGAGCTGGTAATGCCAGCTTCGCCTGCCACAGTCAGGAAGCAGAAGCCTGCCCTTCTCCCCTATGGGGGTGGAGCTGTGGGTACTAGCTTGCCCTACTGGGTGAGTTTAACATTTCATATTTATCTGTCTCAAAACCCCCTCCCCAGCTAAATTATGTTGATTTTTACTTGTGTGTGGCCCACAATTGATTGATTTATATCTATGGGTCAATGGCCTGTGAAAGAAAAATGTTCTCTCCTCTCATCTTTCCCCACCTCTCCCCCACTATAAAGCTTATAAGCGTTTTTAGTTTGCTCCACTAAAGGCTGATCTGCTGGTGGCCCATTTTTCCCTAGCTGTAGGTGTTCAAATACCATTATTTATTTTAAGGGGAAGCTGTACATAACTATATGATTAACACAGCTGCAAACTGAAGGAAAATGTCTCTTTGGACTCTTGCTCTCTCTCTTTCAGGAGGGGAAAAAAGGTTCCTTTTCAAACAGTGCAGCAGAGTTGTGGTTTGCTCTTCCTAAAAGAGTGTTCATGGAACAAGCAGTCTGTTACAATAACCCTGCTGCAACCACATTGTCAGGCTTAGCAAGTGAGGGACTTTAACCCAGGAGTTCAACTGCTATCTTGCTTCTCCCTCAACGGTTTTTATTGCACCATCATTTTGAATCTCTGAATTACTCATTCTGCTCTCATTTGTATAGATGAGCAGATAATGGCTACAACAGGAATTCAGCTACTGATAGCTTACGTCCTGGGGTGGCTTTGCTTTTTAGCGTTATTTCCCTCAAGACTCAAATTATGAGCATGGGATTTAAAGGAGAAAGTATAGCTAAGGGATTTATAGCATATCCAGATGCCAAATAAACAAAGATTGTGGCCACTTTTGTTATTTTTAATGTGTAATGGTTTGTTTCTGTCTTGGTGCTTCACTCATTCTTCACCATCACTAAAATGCTGCTAACTCAGATCCACCTCCATTGCATCATATAGCACTCTGTAGGTATATAAGCAACTAGTCAACAGTCTGAAAAAGATTATTGGATAGTCAACTAGTCCCTCAACTAGTTGCTTCCTCCCCACTTGCTGCCTCTATTAGAGGAAGCAAGGAGGGTGAGCAGGAGCCGGTGCTGGGGGGAGCCGGCTCAAAATTCAGGTGCCCCCAGCACTGTCTCTGCAGGGGCCGAGGAATAGTGGGGACCAGGCGCGAACCAGGAATCCGATGATTCCCAGCTCATGCCCAGTCCCAGATGCTGTAACTCTGCTTTTTAAACATGTTAAGAACCTACTGGCTCTTAATACATTTAAAAGGCTTGTGCGCAACAAGTGGGGACCTGATGCAAGCCGGGAATCAGATGGCTGGACTGCACCAGGTCCCCTCGCTGCATACCAGACTTTTAAATATATTAAGAGCTGGCAGGCTCTCAAAACATTTTAAAATGCAGAGTTGCAGCAGAGTTAGCTCCTGGGAGCGGGAGCTAAACCCACTGCAGCTTCCCCGTTTATCGACTAATTGACTAGTCTATGGAAAATCCATTGACTGGTCGATTAGTTAATTAACCTATATATAACATCCCTAGCATACTGTAGCATACAAATGAATTAGTTGTTTGTGGGATTGGGTGATTTCACTCTCATAACCACTGTGACACTGTGCCCCCATATTTTTATGGAAATAGGTTTTTTTAAAATATGAATATACATAGAAAAAAAGGGACAAATAACCAATCATTCAAGAGCTGAGTGTGTAAATTCCATTTGTGTGCATGAATCATTCTTGTATGTGAAGTTAGAAATATAAAGTGTAAACTTGTTTATTAATCTAGGTTGTCTAGTGAAAGTCATTAGTGGTACTCAAGGAACATAATGGCCTGGTGCTCATGACAAGGATCTGTGAATAGTCTTGTTTTTTCCTATAAGCTTAAACTGTGGTTGGTCCTACAAAAACGTGACAATGCCACATGGTTCTGGAATCCATCTTGAATTTAGTATTGCACCACAGAGGTGAGGGAGGTGGGATAAAGACTTCCCTCTTTGGGGAAATTGTATTTAAGCAATGGGAAGCAAATTGTGACTACCTTTAGCTGGTTTCACTGACTGCTTCCCACCTCAAAGGGACACATGAAAGGACCTGGAAAGAAAAGAACTCTGACGAGAGGAGAAGCTGTTAGACCCAGGTCAGAGAAAAAGATCAGCTCTGGCCAGAAAAGACTACCTGAAATAAGGACCAGGATGAGAAAGTATTATTTGTAATAATCTCTGATATAATTAGGCTTGGCTTAGGCATGTTTTGATTATTTTAGTTTAATAACTTACTTTGCCTGTCATCACTTGCAACCACTTAAAACCTACTTTTTATATTGAATAAAATCAGTTTTGTTTATTATAAAACCCAATTGAAATGGTTACTGAGAGGGTAGAGGGAGGGAAACAACAGCTATGTATATCTCTTTCAGTAATAAAAAAGGGTAAACTTTTATACAGAATAAGATGGCTTTATTTGGGGTTTTGATCCCACAAGGCCTGCAGTTCTGGGTGCTATCAAATCCCTGTCATTGAGCTCTTAGAGCTGAGCTGTTCTGTGTCTCTGTTACTCTGCTGAGGGGCTGTTACCCCTACTCTGTGCCTTGGTTGTGGGAGACCAGAGCTTCTGGCTCAGCAGAACAGGATGGTGACGTACCCCAGAGGGCAGAGATGAATGATAGGTTCCTTGCTCCGTTTTGCTATGCATATTCACATTTAAAAACATGTTTCCATCAAAAATAAGGGGGCCAGTGTCACAGCAACCATCAGAGTGAACTCACCCAATCACACACGGTCTCAAGAGGCTCTCTGTAATCCAACCTATCACAAGCTCTGTACACTTGTTGCTAACCTGCTGGGATAAATAGGAGTTGAGCTAGTGTTTATGAGCTATTTGAACAACTATAATTAGTTAACGTAACTGGAAAAAGAGAGGAACAGTGAGAGCTCTTCACCTCCTGTGATTGTGATGATCAAAGCTCCGTGACCTTCACTCACGATTACAGAACAATAGCAGTTTTACACCAGGGTTCTCTCAGTGTAGCTATTGAGCTGTAATCTCAGTAGCATGGTAGGTGTGTCACTGAAGATTTAGAACTAGTGTAAGTTTCCTCTCTGTCATGTCCATTGTCTTGTACATTGGCACTGTGCAACTGGGTAGAGCTTTTGGCCAAACCAAACCAATGTCTGTTTCCATGGAAATAGGAGTGGAAATGGCAACTATCGGCTGACAACTGAAAGCTTGGGTCAGCTTTCGTGGCTGCCTGGAAGTGCTAGCTGTGCAGATGTCATCCAGCAACTCCTCTACTCAATGTGATGGAAATAGCTTTTTAGATAGTAAACTCTTTGGGGCTCATTCCATCTTGTGTGTTTGTGGCATGCCCAGTGCAATATGGCTCTGTTGTTGATTGAGGCCCTTTAATTCCATTATAAAACAGATATTAAACAAGGAAGGATGAACAAGTATTTAACCTCCATGGTGGCTTCAGAGACTGGCACAGCTGGAAACATTCTTAAAAGAGTCATCATAGAATAATAGGACTGGAAGGGACCTCAAGAGGTCATCGAGTCCAGCCCCCCTTCCTCAAGACAGGACCAAGCTCCATCTACACCATCCCTGACAGATGTCTATCTAACCTGTTCTTAAATATCTCCAGAGAGGGAGATTCCACCACCTCCCTTGGCAATTTATTCCAATATTTGACCACCCTGACAGTTAGGAATTTTTTCCTAACTGTGCATGGTGCATGATGTACAGATAGCAGAAGTAAAGGCTCACTGCACACATGTGGCTCTAATGTATAGCCCACAGAATCATAGCTGGGGTAGTTTGCATGGTCCTCAGAGCCCACATGTATGTACATCCTTATTGATATAGGTTCCCCACCTGGTGTTTGGAGAATTAGCAAAGAAAAAAGGGTTTTATTAAGATCCCTCTAATACATGCCCCATGCTCCCAGACTGTGTGTTTTCAATGGAGCATGGCTTTTAATGTATTTTAGGAGAAATTGTAATGAGAATTTTAATTTCAAGTCAGTTGCAGGGGAATGGGATTATATTATCTGAGGTGACTCAGTCCTAGATTGACTTCATTTCATTTGTGCACTGCATCAGGCTGTTTAAGACATTAGAAGTTCTGCCTGCTCCTTCTCTAGAAAAGTCGTATTTCATGGCCAAGTCCTGTGATGCAGTAGGCCTCACCCATGTCCAGCCAGGCTTTATTTCTTAGAAGAGAGGATTAGGGAGGTAAGTGGGTCAGCAGGCTAGAAACAGAATGTCTGTGCGAGGTAAGATAAGGGGAATGCCCAGGGAAACACTTAGGATGGGCAGGGTAGCAATGGATAACATAAACCTGGCACGTAAGCTGAGGTAGTGTAAATTGTGAATGGACTGTGAATGATGTACAGGATTTGATTTGTACAAAGCGATTTAAGCCAGTTACAAAATGGCTGATTGAGAGTAATTTGTACACCTATATAAAGGAAGAGATTTGCTGTGTAAGGTGTGATCAACTCAGTCTAGTTGTCAAATAAAGGAAGCTGAGTAATGAGACTGGAGCTGAACTCGGACTGTGGGGAACTGAGTGGAAGAGATATGAGAGAAACCCAGTGTACTCAATCCATGAAATAGGCCTCTTCTCTGCTAATTGGCTTGGGGCTGGTTGCTATACTGTTAGCAATGTGTTAAATGCTCTGTTTCTGTAGGATTTTGTTGGGTTCTGGGTTTCTTCCAGCCACTGTCCATTCTGTCCCCCCATCTGTACTGGATTCAAAAAAAGTATGCTGTTGGTAAAGTGGGAATGGGAATTTTTGAAAGCAGTGCCTCCCACTGGTCAGAATTAGGAGGGAATATGGGGCCTCAAGATAATTGGTCCTTTTGAAAGAGTTTGGAGGTTGTTTACAGAGCTGTCTTCTGCTGAGGACTCAAAAGTTAACCCTTTCATTCTTGTTGATTTATATTTGGAACCCAGCCTCTGACTATGGCATGAAGCTGCCAATCTTGCGGTCGAACACAGAGGATCAGATTCTGTACCAGACCGAGCGTTACAATGAGGAGACATTTGGTTATGAAGTCCCTGTCAAGGAGGAGGGTGACTACGTTGTGGTGTTGAAGTTTGCTGAAGTCTATTTTGCACAGTCCCAACAGAAGGTAAGCCAAGTCTCTCCCTGACCCACGAGCCTTTCTTGGTTATTTCTGGTGGTGCTATTTTCTGACTAGGGCTGTGTGTGCCAAGTTCTTGTAAGTAATTCAGGACTGAAAATCACCTTGTTGCCCCCTCTGCTGAGGGTGAGGATCTCGTGGGAGCTACACTGTGTGAGTTCCCTGCACTCTGATCTGCTAACCACCTAAACAACCTCCCCGAGTACTTTGCAGGCCTTTACTTTACCTTTCAGGTAATCCTTTCTCCCTGAAATACCCTGTGAAGCGTTCCTGTACAGCAGTGGTCCCCAGCCATTTAAGGTTGCCGGGCGCCAGGGGGCGTGGCCGTTCGTCCACCGGGCGCCAGAGGGCGGCCCCCCCCAATAGCCGGGTCCTCCCCATAACCGTGTGCCCGGGGCCGGCGCCCCCTGCAAGGGCCACGTGCCCGGGGCCGGGCCCCCC